AATATCGTAGCAACTGAAACATGAGGCGGCCTGGTGCAGCACATTCTGTTGCCTGGAAACATCACAAACGAGAGATTCAGCTGGGTTCTAAGTGAGTCTCTCGCAAAACCAAATTTGTCTGCGACTGAGTTTATTTCGCTAATTTCGTGCAATTTGGTTTCAAGTAGAGCATGAGGATGACGGAAACTCGGGGAGTGCGCCTACCTGATGAGTCCCAAGAAAGGCGAAACCGGTCGTGGGCTGTCGACGGATTTTCAGCAACCTTATGAGTAGTGTATTACCCGGCTTTCTTCAGTTTTACGCATTCTAGGTCTGGAATGTAGATAACTCCGCCTTAGGAAAAACAAATGCGGTATATCACGATTGTGACACATAGTGAGCCATCACCTTTGTCTTCGCATGTGGCGTTGTTTCAATGAGTCTTCAACCGATTTTGTTTCATTTCGTCACTGAGGATATGATGAGATCCAGATCCTTTCGTGTGAGGATCTCGTCAATCTGGAATGTGCAAACAACAATGCCCCCCTTGAAAAACAACAAGAAGAAGAGCTGACCAAGATCATCCAGTCCTCCAGAAAGTGCTTCAATCTCCAAAGTGCGGGACGTATGGCCTCTGCGCACGTCTCTAGGAATTCAAGGAGTTGCGAAAGTCACACTGGCTCTGACGGCAGTGTAACGGACGAAGTCCGCGCACGAATAGCAATGAACGAAATTGCGCCCACCAATATGCGTACCTTCTGGAATCGAAAGAATGCTGGATGTACTATTGTCCGGCTGCGAGGCTTGGGTTCGAGGCATCTTCAAGTCTTTGTCCACTAATATACCAGAGTCATAGCTGGAATTGGATGGAGCCAGTGATATCACACTGAGTTGATCAGAGATCCGATCTTTGGTGAAGTGACAATCTATCCTAAAAATGCATCCAGCACTGTAAGCTAAGGGGACTGAGCTATACAATATGCATGGTCAGAAAAAAAACATTGTTTTCCGTTCCTACTTTGGAGACAGAGCACGACATGGCGGAATGAATTGAAGGGCGTCGTTCGCCTTCCATGAAGGGGTATACATCACTTTCCATCAACTTGGCCAAAGACACTGAGCGATATGGTGGCTAACCGATTTCAGTGGCATTCATGCTGTCCAGCTTCTATGACTGAGCGTTGGAAATCTGGGCACCGAACCAATTTCTTTTCCCTCCCATTATAATCCTTTATTGTAATAAATTGGGTATGAGGTACCACTCTTCTCGTCTGGTTTTGCTGTCGATGATGACCCCTTGATTCATTCTTCTGATAACTCAACATTGAAGCCCTGAATTCTCAAGCGGTAGGATTCATCAACTTTTCAAAATAAAACGCCCACTTGGTTTGAAAGGGTTAAATCAAATCAAATCAGATCGTTCAGCTGTGGCACCCCTTCGGTATCTAACTGTCATGTCAACGGAATCAGGCACGGTGGCTGGAAACGTGCAAGTTCGCTCGAGCCAAGACAGAGGAAGTCGAGATGCTGAGGTTGGGTTCAAACCATGTTGCCTGAACCACTGGGCTATCTCGAGTCCTTTAAAAGACTAAACTCAAAGCAAATCAATGGGAGTGAGGGTTACTGGGCTATATATATATTTAAAATGCAGCACAGTTCTTCAAA